GTTACTCAACAAAACTCAATGAACTATTATCCAGTAGTCTAAATGTTAAGCACTTGAAGAGGATTTGAGTTGTGGATACTCAAATCAGAAAAGAACAGATATTTGTTAACTTGTGATTTTTAATTGGCTTCCTAGCAGGAACTAATATCGAATATAAGATATCTGCAATTAGTAGTTATTAGTGTTATGTACTCATGGGGCTAGACATTTTAAATATTGACTGAATAAATGGAATGTATGTAAACCATGAGTTATTCAGATCAAATTTTTCAATAGTTTGTAGAACAATTATTGTTTTATATTGAACTTATATTATTTAATGATAATTTATTCATGAAAATTTAAAAAAAACTATTAACGTATAAAATATCTTCTACATTCAAACTTGATTGCCAAACTCGTCAGTTTATCTGATTTATTCCACAGTCATAATCCTATGTGTTCCTTCAACTGACTAATATCAGTTTATTTCATTTGAAGATAATTTTCATCATATGTCGATTCCAGCAGGAAAATCGCTTGATGCCACTGTGTATTAGGCATCTGTTTTATCTTAGTTCATGATTATTCATCAGCATGCATTCATCACCATTAGGTGAAAGTAAAGTAAGAGAATTAGATTTGTTGACGATCATGACATTTTTTAATAATTAAATATTAATTTAACTATTTGTTGAGACAGATTTTAAGTTTTTATAAGCTTACACTTATTGTGGTACTATGTAAAATTCAAAAGTCCCCAAAAGTTATGACAATTGGATAAATCAAATGAAGAGTGGGATAGCAGTAGAACCAAACAACAAACAAGATAAAGCAATGAAATTAGGTATAAAAGTAACTGCAAAGATGCTTCACATTCTCTACAAAAGGAGTTTTGAGGGACAGAAAGTGCCAGCAGATTAAAAAGTGGGATAAATCAACAGGATATTAAAGCAAGACTTCAGTAAGTGTGAGAACTATAGAGACGTCACACCTCTGTCGGTACCAGCAAGAGTTCTCATCAGAGTGAAGTTGAACCGCATGGAAGATTTAGTAGACACTCAACTTTGAGACCAACAGGTAGGATTCCGTAAGGATCGGTCGTGAACAGACCGAATCGCGAAATTATTGGTCGTCGTTGAAAGGAACTGACTACTAAATATCATCTTCCTTGACTGTGAGAAAGGATTTGACAGAGTGGACAGAAGAACCTTATGTAACTTTCTTCGATACTATAGTGCACCTCAGAAGATCGTCAACATCATACGGAATTCTTACGACCAATTACATTGCAAAGTTGTTCATGGAGCACAGCTGACAGATGCATTCTAAGTAAGAAGCGGTTACAGACAACACTGCTTACTTTCACCTTTCCTCTTTCTTCTGGTGGTTGATTAGATTATGTAGACTTCAACATCTGAGGGGAAGCACGGAATATAATGGACAGCTTGGATTCAACTAAACGATTTGGACTTTAAAGGTGAACAGGCCCTTCTATCCCATACACACGAACAAATCCAGATGAAGACAACAAGTGTAGCATCAGTCTCTGCATCAGTAGGCCTCAAATAAAACACGGGGAATACCAACTTAGTCACAATTTTTGGAGGAACTCTGAAAAAAGTGCAAACTTTCACGTAATTGAACAGGATTGTCGATGAACGAGGAGGAACTGATGCAGACATAAAGGCAATGATTGGCAAAGCAAGGATAGCATTCCTACCATTGAAAAACATAATTAAGCCGTCTAGATCAGTGAACATAATAGAACTAATTAGACCACAATGTATTCATAAACTATGAATTCAGAAAATGAACAAATGATTTAAAGTCAATACCAGTTGACCAGTGTTCTCACTAGAATTCAGAACACTGTTTTAAAAAAATAAGAACTATAAGTTAGATTAAGAGTCTGAAAAGAAGTATTATTTTATTATTTTTTAAAAAATAAATATCAAGTGATCTAGAGATTAAGCGTTTGCAAGCGAGACCGATAGGTCCTGGGTTCGAATCCCGCGGGGTGGGATCGTAGATGTGCACTGTTGAGAAATCCTACACTAGGATGAAACAATCGTGCATAGATTCCAGGTTCTCCATAATGATCTTGCTTCAATTGACTGATAATTTCAATCATTAAATATCAAGTGAATGAATTCTTATGATGGAGCATTGTAACTAATCCACTAATAACTATTCATACAGTTCTATTATATATGATCCTAATTAAAAAAAATATAAACGAAGATCTCGTGGAATTTTCCATATACCTAACTATATAAAATGAGAAATCATAAAGAAAAAATTACCTTTTAAAAAGTATTCATTAAATTCACATTTATTGATTTTATTTAACAGTTATATTTTAGGTTACGGGTATGTAATACATCATATGTATAATAATAATTATACAATTATTCATTATATATTGATTTTTGACGTTTTGTATACACATTCACACATTATGAATTTACTGTATAACAACAGTGTAGGTTTTACTTATTTATTTATTTATTTTTTCTTTAGTGATAAATTGAGAAAAGAGTAAAGTAAGTAGTTGGAAAACGTTTTTAAATAAATAAGATGGAATGTTATTTGGTTAAATTCAGTGTATTTTTTCCATTGAGAATAATTTAAATAAAACTTTAATATTAATGATGTATTGTCTCACTTAATTATTTCTCGTCTGATATTTTTTCTCAATGCTAGTTACCATTTTAACTGTGATGTAGGCATATATATATATATATATATATATATATATATATATAAGCGACATTTGTGCGTGATTGTCGTTGATTATATCAGCCTCGTAGTTTTAGAGTTTAAATGATGATACCGAAATTCCATAGAGGAATATAAAGTGTGCTATTTTGAGTTCCGGAAGTTTGAAACCACTTGTTCCTTCTATAGAAATCTATGATTACTGCGGACATTGATTGATCATGGGACACACATTTCGACATCAAAATTCCGTAGAGCCTACATTATAGCTTTTCCTTCGAGTTCGATAGTTTGATAATTTTCATCATGTTGCCCCCGCCACGAATTTGGGTAGTTTTGTAGAACCTTAATGATGAGTGTTTCAGACAATTAAGCACAAATGGGTCGTCACGAAAGACAATACAAACATCATATCAAGGTAAGATGTATCGTTAAATATATCTGAGAACACTTCATTCAAATGTTATTGTTAACTAAATGCATTAAAAAGCAATAAATAGCTTAACGAAATACATTACTGATATGATATATATTTACAGTTTACAATGATGACGCTCTCAGAATCATAATCAAGTTAACACCGAGCTAGATATCAGATAACTATTTCTTCTTAAAGTTAATATCATGGTTTGATCTTTGTTAAGTCTATGCAAGATCAGTTCGTGAAGTTAAACAATCAACCAGCTCCAAATGTAATTATTACTTCATTTTGTTTAGTTCAAAACATTTTTAAACGGAAAAAAGTTAATATTAAATCATATAAATCAATAATTATACATTATCACTCGGTTCATTTACACACTGTGGCTTTAAGTCAAATCACATTTTTCTAAATTACTAGCATTTCTCTTATGACTTTCCTCATTTCTGTAGATACATTTTAGCTATGGACACTGATCAGCTGATTATTCAGATGACTCTGTTTAAATGATAGTGATTAGTGCAAAGTGGTGGGGATTCCATGTTTTTTAGTAATTATGCCAACTCTAATACATTTTGAATAACTGTTATACATTCAAGTCATATGATGCAATCTACTGCTATACCAACTGATTTCTATCCGTTTATTTATTATGCTAAGCTAATTTACTACAGTTGGTTAAATGTAGATAATTATTGGATATTGACAACCTAATAAAAACACTATTAGTATGCATGAAGGCAAAGTACGACACTATGAATGAGATTAAAGCTTTGCTTAGTGACTAAATATTTTTAAATGAAGCTAACTGGCTTGTTCGAAAAAATAAACTAAATATTAAGTTTTATATGGAAATTTCGCGTAGTACATGAGTTGATCAAATTTTTTTATGGGTTCATTCTGTTCTAAATGGTTCAACATTCTGCTAAACAAAACATGTCCATTTTACTTAAATTTATTAACCGACTATAGTTTTTTATCTTTATCTTGTCTTCCATTAAAGGTACAATAATAAAAACGGCAAAACAAACGGAAAAAGTTCGCTTCATATTGTTATCAGTAATTTCCTTTTCTTTAAGTAATCTACAACAAATCTTTCGTTAACTGTTCATAATTCTGTGAATCCTAAAATGTATGTTAATTATTGTGGAAGTACCTCCAGAGATTACTTTCATCACATGAGAGATTATTTAAGTAATAAGTTATATTCCTTACATTTCTATTGAAACAGTAAAATGGGGTAAACTATATATGATTATCGAAATTTGAAGCTTTATGATAGAAGAAACTGTTAGCGTTTTAATAATAAAACAACGTAATAAACTGAAATATCTCATAAATGAACCTTAGTATTAAGTGCGATATATTATTATTGTGGGTTATTTTCGAAATGCTTAGCAAGGAGTAAACTGATTGAAGTGGAAGTGACATACAAAACTGAATTTTTTTCATCGTCTGTAACACGTAATCACTACTTAAAATGGAGTAACCACATGGCTTAATTATATCTGTTGATTATAGTCGTTTAATTTTATCAGACTGTAAATATCTTTTTACATAATAAATTATTAGTTCGTTGATGTTAAATGCTACTCAGCTCAGTTTATACTAATCTCAATATAAATAAATAGCATGAAAATCTCAACATTCATACATCATCTTGATTTATTACTGACGTCAGACAAATCCTAATCTACCGTCTTCATGTTTATATTTGTGCTATTTGATTCACCGATTTTCTGTTGAAGTATTAAGATATCATGCATCTGAAACAGTATTTAAGCTATTTCAACTCCTGAAACGAGCATTTTAAACATTCTGCGGTTTCGAGTGAATAGTTGAATTTCCTACATTAAAAAAAGGTTAAAACTAACTTGCGTTATTCATAAAAAATTTATAAAACTTGAAAATTACAAAGTGTATTCAAATAAATAAGGTACTGTTTCGATATAAACATCAAATAAGTTGTGTTATAGACTTCCATAGTAAAACTTCACACCAAATAATCTGTATCAAGGTCGAATACTTCGGTAATCGACAATGTTTAACTGACTATCGTGTGAATAAACATTAAAGTTACGGCAAAATACATATCCAAATAGGCAAACAATTTAATACTTCAGAAAATGCACTGGTTTCTCCACACCGTTAAAAAATACAGAATTATACATATCTAAACGCATTAATATGCATTTTCATATGAGTATACACAATCGTAATGGTTTGTAGAAATAGTAGAACGTGAAATTACAGTGGGTGAAAAAACCCAGAAAATACAAAATAAAAATAAGAGCTAACTACTGAATATTTTAATAGTAGTATAGAAGATTTGCGAAAATTGTAGGATTTAAAGAGGATTTCACACAATATTGTAATGTACAGAAATAGGAAAATGAACTAAAAAAAAATTTTGTGTACATAGAACAGACAAACACACATCGTTGTAACACCGAAATGAAAGGAAACATAAAAAAAGACGAATAAGCATCATAAATGCAGGTCCCTAAAGTTTATTCAAGATACAGAGTGTAGTCACAAAGGTATTTATTGGAATACTGAGGCGAATGGAACCAGGATATATTTAATTCAGAAGTTCTCCTTAGATTTCATTTTTATTTATTGTGACTACCTGTTCAGTATATATTCTTAACTTCGTGGAACAAAAGATGGACCAGGAGCACGTCGAAACAGTGCCATTTGATCCACTATCGCCCGTCCAACACTGCGATCTGATGGATTCTTTTTACGTTTCATTAGTCGTCCAGCTGTATTACGACATATACACTGCAACAACAAACACTAAATTAATTCATTTCGTTCAAGGAAGTGAAAAAAATGAAATTATTAGCTGTAAATAACCAATTTGTTGTTGCTTTTTACAAAAAGCATTGAATAATAATTTATCAAACAATTACTAATATTTAGATACTTATGAAAATACTGGTAAACATGTGTTATTCAGTCAACAATACAATCAATTAGTATGTTTATTTGTTTAAATCTACCAGATCAATTAATTTGCTTTTAAGTCAGTCATAAGACTGGCGTGAGTATTATCAATTTATTGTCAGATGCAGCTAAATGGACAAGTAAGATTTACCTGATTAATTTTGTACCTGTGAATTTTACTTCAATATCATATGATGAAAAGAGTGATGGAAAAGAATAGTAAATCACATTTTACATTTTTATAAGTATTAACGAAAAATAACTTAATGTCTACGGAAAACGATGAAGATTTATATAAACAATATAGTTTTATTTTGAAATATTTTGTTGCGTAGACAGTTAAAGTTATTGAGTGAATCTCTTTGAATTGTGTTTTCGTATTTATCAGTACCGTTGAGTAAAATTTTCCTTTAGCTAACAGGGAAAAGCGATAACATTCTTGTTGTTCCAATTCGTAATGCTTGAAAGTTAATTTCCAGATTCTCAAAACGGGTTAGAAGCTAGAGCATTAACCTTTCCAGTGTAGACTTTAAACATCTGGTGAGATTTGAAGATTGTATCTTTTCCACACCATATATTTTTATGTTTACATGCAAATAAATCAAAGTCATTGACCTCGATCAAAATTTTTAATAACTGTATTGTGTAAATAGCTTTATCAATCAAATCTTTATAGTTGTTTATGGTTAGTCTATCGTCTATGAAAAGCGTTGTTCTAGAAATACAAACTGTACAAGATATTCAGAAAGTCTTGAAATTATGTTTGTATACCAAATATTCATGACACTTAAAAGTTACTTAACGTTTATCTTTAATGATACTAAAACAGAGCCTAGAACAAAGAACTCATGACACTGGTTTACAACAATTAGTGAAATTCAAATAATGTGTTACGTTTAATCTGGTAATAATCATTTTTGGTTTTTTTAAATCAACAAGCAACTTGCTTGTTCTTATCGAGAAAAATTTCTAGCGAATGAAATTTTGGGAAATCGCCTTGTTTATCATTGATCTATTTTTAATCACTGAAATTGAAACATTAAATAACTTTATTCATTTCCATTAAGCAACTTCTCCACCTTGAATTATGGCAGTTTTGATTGCGGTTAACGGTTATAAAATCAATTTCCGCCTTTACGGTCGAAAATAAGATGAAAACTGATGGAAAAATAAAGCCGTTCTTTGCGTGTCTTCGTTTCCGCATAACATAAAGAACAAAAAGTATAGTGACATAAAAGATGTAAGATAATCACCACACGATCAGTGAATTCATTCGAATAGATGGGATAAATGGTTAGTTATTTTATAAGAAATACGTTTAATTTAATATAGATTTTCTATAGTTCCAAAATAGTTTTGTGACAGGAAATTGATGTTAGCAGTAAAAAACCCTTGAAAACCAAGAAGGTTTGAATTATGCTTTCTTAATAGTTTGAAACTTCTTACAAATACTTACACAAAACAGCATACAATAGCAGTAGCATTCGATCTCTTTAGGCCAACAAATCTATTTACAACTTGACACAGACCTCAACCGATGCTATCTGTGAGTTACTGAAAAAATCCAAACTTTAAGTTTACTTTATTTTTCAAATCAATATTTTATGAGTATCGGCACAGTCATTAGTAAAGTAAGGGTATGAAATGCTTTTGTTAAGTAGAATGTTATTTTCTTTGCTTAAGCAATCTTTAATGAGATATTAGTGGATCCGGTTGTTGAGTCAATTGACTTAGCTAGAAGTTGAAGTATATAGGGAAAATGGTAACAGAAGTCAGGGAAGAAAGTGTAGTAACATTCCTAAACAATGTAAATCAATTGAACAATGATAATACAAGGCAACGAGAGACCTTAGTAGATTCGTCTTACAATATTCAGACGCCAACAACAAAATATTGATTTTGAAAAGGTGCATCATTTATTTATATTTCAAGCAAACTAAAAAGGAAGTTTTACTAATACTACATTCAAGTTAACAAAAGTAGGAATATTACATCAAACAATCCAATTTGACATTCTTTGTAATTTATATATCTCAACAATAGTTTTCATGAAAGACAAATACTCCTCTAAACAAATGTTAAAATTATTGCATTTTAAATTGTAAAATGTAAGTGATTGTTTCATACTCTTCAGCAGAAAATCTTTTATTTTTGAAGCATCTAAAAACATAGTTTGGATGTGAACATGTAAGCAAAATTAGTTAAACATCCTTTATCATTGATTACATAAACAACTTAGTTAATAGCAAAACATTTAATCAATTCAAGTAATTTAACGAAAATCAATAAATGCATTGGTGATAAAAAAGCAATTTGATTATGCTTTTGAGCATATATTGATGGCATTTGGAAAACGATTGAAACCGGAGAGCATTAGGCAGCTCTGAGAACTCGTAATCCTATTGTGAGTGACATCTATATATGTGTCAATTTTTCATGAAAACTACTTTCGAATTAAACATATCCAGCAGAAAGCCGTTGAAAAATGTGTAGCTAATCTTATCCACTAGTAACAATAAGACAAAGACGGTTCATTGATTAAAACATTCAGTCCCAAAAGTGTAATGTAGGGACTAGATTGATCTATTCAGAAATGACCATGTGAACTTGAATTCATTTCTCAGTTAATGACCAAACAGTTTGCATAAATTAACATTATTTCACAACAGTACCATTTAAATCTCTTACATATAGTGGTATTAGAAAGGTTATTGGTTTTATAAAGTGAATTATAAGTTTGTCAATCTTCATATTGTTATGATCTCTCCACACAACCAGATTGATTTGAGTATGAATTTGCTGACACTAAATATTTCTTTTAAAATTCTTTCCATATTTATAAATAAATTTGCAGAGAATTAGTGATTATCTGTTAAATCTTTTCGCGAACAAATTCCCTTAAAGAATTGGGATGACAAAGCTATAAGACAATATAGAGAAGTCTTTGATTATATTTGTTACTTGGTTTAGCATTTCTACTTCACTAACTCACCTGTTATTCACTGAATCACCAGTAAAATGATTTCTTTGTGAATCTTTCATAAAAAGTAATTTATTCACGTGTTATTTGAATTGAATGTTTAAAAGTGAGTACTTGATTAGTTTAATATTGACATTTTCACTGTACGAAGACTTAAAGTTTTGAGCAACCTAAGTTTTGTACAAAGATATTTCTGTCACTTATTATATGACCAGAGATAAAAATCATTCATGTTTTAATTTTATTTTAAAACTGTAATGATTCTGTCGATTCTGACCGATATGCTCTTAAAGAGTATTTTTCACTCAGTCAACATCCAAACACTGAACTACAGACTCAAACATTCTCCACATACTTTGATCTGACCAATCTGTACAGTTTAAAGGTGGCAATTCAAATGTTTGCTCATTTACTGTGTTAGATGAAATCAGTCTTAATTACTGAATTTTAATTATGGAATATCGAAAACCTGTTTTCTGTTGCAGTAAATGAGAAAGTTACATACCTTAGGCTAAAACTTTCATCCATTGTATGATCTGACTTAAGCTCTTTGAAAAAAACAAACAATTTTTTTATGGTAAGGGTGGTTCGAGTATGTGACATTACATGTTTAATGATTAAGTCAAGTCATACGGCTTTCTTTTGCATATATCATTTCATGTAGACTTGCAAAGGTGAATGTTTCGGAAGGAATAATCAAATGTCGTCTACTAATACTCCAGAAGATATACTAGACAATGTATTGTGAATAGAAGCGAGATTTATGACAATACAGTAACTAGGCATTTGATAGATAAAAAATATTAGGTAAAACATTTTTAACACAAAAAGCTAACAAAAGAAGAATATATGGTTAGTTCCATTTTGTAAAATAGCCAATAATTAAAAGCTTTTAGCATGAATAATACAGACAGTAAGGCTGAGGTATGAAAGTTTCATTATTCTTACGACTTCATTTCACTATTTAAATATTTATGTTTTATGATCAGGATTCATGGAATGAATTCATGAGTCGATGTAAGCTAGATCACCACTGAAGACCTGGATACACTGGGAGGCCGTTTCGTCCTAGTATGGGGCTCTTCAGCAGTGCGCGTTCATGAAGGATTCGAAATCAGGACCTTTGGTATTACACGGGACCGGGACGAAACCGCCATTCAGTGCTTCCAGGTCTTCAGTGGTGGTCTAGCTTACATTGACTCATGAGTTCAACTATTAAAAATATTTGTTTTTAATCATATTTTTGAATTGATGAACTAATATAATTAAATTATCCTCATATTTTACTATTTTTCAACCACTTTATTGATCTTACATTTTCACTTACCACTCGATTTTCGCAACATCTGCAAATGTAACTCAACGTTAAAACTAACACTACTTTGTGTTTTGAGAATTTTCCAAACATTTGATGAGATTTGCTATAATCGATTTTAAATTTTATAATTTGTCACTTATAGTTTTATTATCAGAATGGGTTTTGTGAAGATTTTTAGAAATTTCACAAGTTGAAATCATGAGCCAATTGAAGCTAGACTACAGTGCTTCCAGGTTTTCCATGGTGGTCTAGCTTCAATTGGCTCATGATTTCAACTTGTGAAACTTATAGTTTTCCCTGTTTTAAACTGTTGGACAACATGAATTGAAGTAGTTTGGTTAAACGTGCCATATGTCACCATCGTACATTCAATATTTATTCTAGGTAATAAAAATCAATAAAATAATACATATTTTCTTCTCATTTCCAAATATGAGATATGGGATAGACCGCTTTCATTCATTTGAACAGTGTAGTTAAGTGTTAACTATTCTTAAATCTGGATTGACAGATTCATAAATTCCCAGTGAATAGATGTTAAAAATCACAATAAGTTGTCACATAATATAATTGCACATTTATATTCAAAATAAATATGATTAAATCCATTTAAAAAGTGAAGGATTGTGAGATCCTTATTTGATAGGTTGATCACAACTTGAAAAATTACGAACTAATTTCGATACTTATATTTTGTTTATCATTTAAATTTCATCCATATCTTTCTTATCAGTGTAATATTAAACCTTATCCTGTACTTAAATTAAGGACTGCAAATTTGTAATAAAATGACCGATTTCTATGTTTTCTATTCGTGGTACTTTTTTGCCACTGTAGAATACTCAAAGTTTACAGTCTATCTATTTTAAAAAGTCATAATCATCTACTGTAAATTGAATACAGAGGTGTATTGAGTCAATTCTTATTTAATCAAGAATTTTGCTGAGAAAGAAGCTGATACTTTATTAGTCAATTTGTTTAAACCAAAGAAAATAACTAGTTGTTAATATTTTTTATGAAAATCAGTATTTGCAATGCATGCATATCAGCCTGTCAGTAGCAACGTGGAACTTTGTACGTATGTACATCAGTCCAAGTTCTCATATCCTATTAGCAGAGCGTTATGAAATTGTCAAAAAAATTCCAGAGTAGTAAAAGCAGTAACATCATTAGCAATAATAATAAAAGATTAGACATCAGAGATGCAATTCAGGGAAATATAAACTAGAGAAATAAGAGAATTTATGGAGGATTTAGAAATTTAGGATCTCAGGGGAGACAGGGAGTGAATGCACTTTTATCACTGCGAATGATTTTGTGTCATGTCACCCAACGTCTCTAACCACTAGTTACGATGATCATCTATACATTATTGATCAGGTATATATATATATATATATATAGATAGATAGATATAGATATATATAATAAGTATTGTCTTATATTTAAATAATCAAAATAAATAACTCACACAGTTTACCGATCCACTTACAGTTTTAATTTAAAAAAGTCGATTAAAAACATTTTAAGCTTCCATTATTATTTGATTCAGAATCTTCCTATATGGTTCAATAATATGTAATTGTGAAATCTGTTGGTTTTCAACCGAGTTTAGTCTAGGTATTAATGATATTAGTATAAAGTGAACAGCATAATGTTACATAATTGCTTTTATTATATTAAATGAACGGTAATAATTTAAACTGCTCTATGAAAAATGTAGTTTGTACCTGATTGAATAATCCCTTGAATCCATAACATCTTATTGGATATATATTGTTGATATTTATGTGTCAACTGAAAAGTGTAACATTTTTATTTCTATAAAAAAAACTTTGTTTTGGTCAAAAGTGATTTCTTTAATTGTAACCTTGTATATTTCTTCAAGTTTGAATTTTTAAGTTGGAGAAGAATTCATTTCATGAAAATTACAATTGTATGTTGTTGTTAAATGCCAACTAGAAAATCGAATGATTCTTATCGATTAAATTGAATCATTTTATAATAAGAATTTACCAAAATTACTTTATTTATTATATTTTAAATTTAATATTAATGTATAGTCACTTTTGTAAAATAGTTGTAACCAACAGATTAGTACATACAATTCAACGTGATTATTAAATTTCATTCAATTATTTAATTAATTATGGAACTTAAAAATTATATTACATATTCTATATATAACTAAATTATATGAATTCACTTACCGATAATAATGTAAAAAAGCACATTGTAGAAAAATTCTCCTAGATGTGAAATTAAACTGCCTTGAAAATTTGTCGTCTATCAGAGGAGGTAGTATCTTTTCGTTTTTTTATTTGGAAAAAGAGTAACAATTCAAATAATTTTATAAATAACCCAGATGATTATGAATAATATCCTGTACTATTTACAGACAGGAGAAGTTTATATTCAGCATTTATACATATGTTTATTCCTATGCATACCGTCATACATTTATATATATATATATATATATATATATATATATATATATATATATATATATGTACATATAGGTGTACATACACTTGTGTTTCTGTTTCATGTGTGCTCATCTTTTAATATACACGTGTCCACCTAAATACCCCAATACTAAACAAGGTCGACAATATGAATGTGTTAAATCATGGTTCTTTGAGTTGGTCTATGATAAAATCTACTTGTTTATTTTTTAAAATTTATTTGCACCAACTATGGTGTTTCTTAATTCTCATCAATATTGTTATTGTTGCAATGATTATCAGCCTTTATTATTATTAGTACTATAATCGAAATGCATTAACATACTATTGGGTAAAAATTATTATTCAATCATTTACTCATAAATGAAGACATACTCTGTGTAGCCTGTCAATATAAAAGTTAGTTTTCTTTTTTAAATGACATCTATATTCTAGCTTATAAACAAATGTATTTTTAAGGATGTGTATAAGAGTGTGCTCATTTCTGTCTGTCTATCTACCGGTCAACTATATATATGTATACGTGTAATACAAGCACATATACATACGGAAATTTATCAAAAAAAGAAAGAAAAACTGATTTCAACAATTAATCAACAGTATCATTTTAAGAGTGTTTGTTGTGAAGATTATTTATTGCAAAGTGTCATTTCAAAATGATTGTCTTCAGTTTCCCTCGATGAAACAGTATTACATACATAATAGATGTAATAATAAATGTTTGTTAACTGATATTAATGAATAGAATTGAATACTGAATTCTGTTTAATGTTAAGTGTACTTCTTTGTACTCTAGGTATTGCTGAATTTCGGTATTATTTTATTTATTTATTTGAACACATAAATTTTGGTACAAAGGGGAACCGATTTCATATACTCCACACGTCATTCGGTTTGTATGTGGGCTGTGATACTGCCTGGGTGAACAAACCGAAACAGGTGGTTTTCTTTCGGGACCACACCTGGAGCCTTCGACCTGAGGGTCTGATCCACAAGACAGCGGAGCAACGTCAGGAGACGCAGTTCCATGTTAGCTGGTGATTTTTGACTTGTTGAATAGATTTTGAAAACCTATTACAGGTAAATACCAGGAAGGAATAATGATGAACAGTTTATCAGTGGACTATTGTTAATCGATAGAATTCGATCAGCGCTAAAGACTGGAGCAATGCTAAAGTAATCAGTCATTGTAAAATTACTGATTTCTATGGGTGAGCAGTAGCAGGAGGACTAGTTTAACGGGACATTTCCTAAGAAGATGGTAGACTGCATTTTCTGATGTCACCAGTTTATTATTAATGTTTTCATGATCTTTTTCGATAACATTATCATCAGCATAAACTTTGCAAGTAATCTGTAACATCACTGATTGTGACATTGGATGGTAAGGTTTTGAACTGTGGTTGGATTATCAGTTCCCTCAACGGTGACAATACGCATTACCGATCAGTGACAATGCGTAAAACATCTAGGTTCAAGAATTCCTGGTCATTTTATCAACCTGCCTTACATTGAAACAATCATTTTTATCACTGGAAGGGTACGAATTTAATATAAAGAAATATTCTTTACATTGATTTGCTTAATAGTGTCAATATTTTTATGTCTTTTAGAACTCATGCCGTGATCAACATAGTGTGGTTATACTTTCCGCTTTTGATCTAATGTAGTTTGGATGACATAAGGTGTTTAGATTAAAATAATTATTCATATTCATTGTAGGACTATCTTATCTCATTGTTCAGTTTAATATAAGGTCTTCTTCTATCAAGAACGTAGGTTCGGGACGGTTATCAGTTGTATGTCTATTTTGTTTTCAATAATGAGGTATGCTATTGACACAATGTGTAATTGAGTTTGATGCTATACTTGTATCTTCATGGATCATATGTTATCAAAAGAAGCTACTCCTTAGTAAGTAAATAGTGTATACAATAGAGCCCTTCAAAGGGTTGCTTGTGACTACCATGATCTATCACATATGATTTTTTTACTCTTTGTGTAAATAAAAAAACTTTTCGCTCATGAATTATCTGTATTATGAATATTCCTTCAAACTAATAACAGTCATATAGAAGCATAAATATCCCTTCCAATTTATATGGGAATGCATTCAGTGTTAGCTAGACTAAGTGATGAAGTTTGCAAACTACTAATTCAAATACACTGATTCTATCAAACATTCATTTTAATTAGAATTCAATCGGTAAACAAAAGTGTTTTACAGGGTTCTAGGAATATAGTATTGTTAACACGCACAAATATATTTTGATTAGTGTACTGACCAACTTTAGGAATGGTAATTTGATTAAGGGAGTTCTCTAAATGCAAACAAATTCAAGGTAATTAAAAATAGTCCAATACAAACTGATAAACTAACACTACCAGCTCAAGATTTCTAGTCAAATGTCGCAGTAGAATCTTGTCATACCACTCTATAGGCTAATCCAAATGGTTAGCTTAATAGTCTCATGACTATATATCTTTATCTCAGTTGAAACAAATTGCCTTCTCAAGCCTTATTTTCTTCTTTGTTTACCTTCGGATATCAGCACAGTCCTATTCTTCTATATCTTAGTTACTAATAGACCTCGGGTTTACATTACTAAGGAGCTTCAAAAACCAGGCTGAGGTTCAAATCTTTTTGCCGACTACTTTCAACTATCAAATGTCAATATTTAAGTTATTTAAGTAATTGACATTCTATCAATTTCTTGTTAAATTCACGTATAGTTGAATATATTGTTTTGATTTGTGCATTTAAAAGATGAGTATATATATATATTCATGAGATAATGATCAATTAGTCTGATAATTAGAATCTAAAATGATAGCTACAAAATATATACTTTAGTTGATTCTCCTAAACATTCATCCTTTTTAAGATTTCTTCTATTCAAGTTCAAAACATTATTTTGCTCATTTAATGACATTCAAATAACTGCATACCATAGATATACACATCAACCTACATCAACAATAATAATCACAACATGTAACTATCTGTTATTTAGGTTAATGATACTTTATTACGTGAATAAATGCGTGTATTGATGATTCATCAACAATGAGAAATTTATTTGAAAAAAGAAAATATGTATCCGAGACTATACTATTGCAAATTTATAAATTTGTTTATTTACTAGGCAAGTTCTAAATGATATGCATATTATTGTAATTCATATGAGTAGTTAGCTGTAACAAGTCAAGTAACATAGTATGGTATTTGTTTTTTCTTATTACATTTTTATCGTCTAACATTTTTCTTATTCCTGTCAGATGAATTTTTGTCATCAATTTTACATACTTTAGATTAGTATGCTTAGTGAGATCTCCCTATCCTATTTAAATTACTATTGATAATAATTAAGCTTAACTGAATTATATTAAAATAGTTGAGATCATTTAGTTATTGATAAACGACAGATTCTAGGTCAATTTGGAATAATAATGAAATAATTATGGTATTTGAGTAAAAGAAATCCATTCGTTTAAATGTAATATCTGTGATTTTTGTAGTCAATAAACAATCGATAAAAAAGGGTGTATACTATATAGAATATGTAAGTTGTTAAATATGCGTTCACCAATCAAAGTGATCATTACCAAAGTGTATATATTGTAAGTTATGAACACAACTATGACTTCACCGTAAACTGTCATATATATATATATATATATATATATATATATATATATATATATATATATATATATAACCGTTTGCTTACTTGGATCTTGATGTGATACGTAAAATGTGTTTTCATATAATATCTTTGATGAAAGTGTAGTTCAGTGACGAAATTGATCGATTCACATATGATTCCATGATTTTGAATCCATTTCTCAGTTAATGACCAAATAGTCTGTATAAATTGACATTATTTCACAACAGTACCATTAAAATTTCTTACATATAGTGGTATTAGAAAGGTTATTGGTTTTGTAAAGTGAATTATAAGTTTGCCGATCTTCATATTGTTGTGATCTCTCCACATAACCACATTCATTTGAGTATGAATTTGCTGACACTAAATACTTCTTTTAAAATTCTTTCCATATTTATAAATAAATTTGTAGAGAATTAATGATTCCATATAAGGTAAATTTCTTATTAAATAATGATTCATTCGGTATGCTTATTCATACTTACAACTCATTATATGATTACTACAAGTTTATAACTTAAGTGGAATAAAATTTAAACTCCTTATCATAATTATGAAATACACATGGGGGCATTCACTTATATTTATGTGGTTTTTTGTGTATTATTATTTAGATTACAATATTCATAAGTTGTTGTTCATCTTCAAATCATTGATCAATCTTATTTTCTTCAAATCACGTGTTGGAAACTAGAAAAGCAATGAATATGTGCAGACAAATATACTATGTCAATGTACACTTTGTAACTACCTATATTGTAAAATAAGAAAACATAAAAATCTTTTTATTTCTTGTAATCCATTGTTGTAACATTGAACAGATTCTAGGACGCTTCCTTAAGTCCTGATTTTTCTCGTCTTTTTCAATTTTAGTCAATGAGCAAAATATTTTGTTTAGACGTAAATAATTCCCAATAAACATTAATAACATGCATTACATAAATAATGCTCAATTATTTGCAAGTGGATAATAAACGAAGCATTTGGAAGGTTAAATTTCCCAGTTTACATGTTTTAGGAATCTATATTTATTGTTTGGCCGATTGGGTGAAACTATAATTTATGGACGAACTAATCAGATTTAGGATAACAAGTTTTCGATTTTGGTGCGAGATTCATTCATCCATTTGGCCAAATAGAGTTTTGGAATTTTAAATTATGGCAGTTCATGATGAACACTATGAATCTAATTCCTAACCTTAACCATCAACTGTAAATCATAATCTTTGTTCTTCACACATGTTTATAACCTTCGTTTAGCTCTAGTAAATTGGTGTACATGCTCAAGGTCACTTTAGCAGCTCTCAAAAGTCGTCCGTAAATT